TTGGCATGACCATCAAGTGCCTTGGGTCATCCTGTCCACCACAATGAGGCTGGGAGGAGACCTTAGAGTGGGCTGGTCTATAAAATCTGTAATTTGTTGCTTAACACTTGATCAATCAATGTAAATGCTCACACAGAACATAAAATTTGGGAAGAGATGACAAAATCCTTAATATGCGATCACAATAAATTACAAAAGCACAGACATAAAATGCATTAGCAATTATTATTCTAGATGAAGATTGCCTATGAGCCTAGCTAGGTTTATTTTCCAAATGAATGAATCCCATGCTAGTGTGTGGAATAGATGCCCTCATTCATGAATCTGGTGCAATGGCAAAAGCATGGGATTTGGAGTCCAAGGACTTGGGTGTGAATCCCAGGTCTGTTAATTATAACTAGTGTGACTTTGGACAAGTCCCTTTAAAATCTCCCTGGACCCTCATTTCTTCCCCTGAGGGGGTTGAACTAGATGATCTCTGAGCTGTCTCCCAGATCTAGGATCTGATGGGAAACACATGCCCCTACTATTAATCATTAATAGATACACAGAAATCTCTGTTTTAAGGTACTCAACACCACCACCACCAATGGTTAGCATTTATTTAGCACTTAGTATGTGTCAGGCACTGTGCTAAGCACTTTATAATTATGATCTCATTTGATGCTAACCAGCCCCCTGGGAGGTAGGTGCTATTATTATCCCCATTTTACAGATGAGGAAACTGAGGAGATAAAGGTTAAGTGCCTTGCCTAGGGTCAGATAGCTAGCAAGTGCTTGAGGCTGGATTTGAACTCAGATCTTCCTGACTCCATGCTGAGTACTTTATCTACTATACCACCTAACTGCCCCAATAATACACCTTATGTAAATGTCACAGCTAAAGCTCTTCTACTTCCTCAACTGTCACTTTAATGGAAGTCATTTGTTTACTGTCCACATTTTAAATTTTTTGGGGGGGGTTTAAAAAGTTTTAAATATTTTATTTTTCCCCAATTACATGTAAAAACAATTTTTAACATTCCATTTTATTCGTTGGCAATTTATTTAGGTATTGCTTGGTTTCTTCTTCTGAGGTTGGATTGTTTAAAATCTCTATTTCTTATTTTGCTAATTTGGGTATTTTGTGTTTTGGTAGCTGCTTGTTAATTTCCTCAGAATTCTCGTTTTGCTGAGAATTCTTTTATTTCTGCGACTTCTGAATTTGCCTTGTTCCTTTTCTCTTTTGGCAGTTGGATTCGCCTCTCTTTTTCCTTGATCAGGTTAGTTAATGGCTTGCTGTTTTTGTTAGTATTTTCCCAAAAAGCAGCTCTCAGTTTTGTGCTTCAGTTCTACAGTCATTTTGTTTACCAGGTTTGCTATATCTCCTCTAATTTTTCAAGATTTCTTCTTTTGCCTGTGTTTTAGGGTTGCTGATGTGTTTATTTGCCAGTTTTCTTTGAGTTGTACTCCCATTGATCTTTTTCCATTTTGTAAATATAAGGATTCAGAGGCATACATTTTCATCTCAGGTCTGTTTTAGCTGCATATGATAGGTTTCAGTATGTTGCTCATTGTCATTGTTTTCTTGAACATAATTATCATGATTTATTCCATGATTTATTCTATGATTTATTTTTTGACTCATTCATTATTCAGAATTTCTTAGCTTCCATTTGTGTATGCATTTTTTTGTTTATTTTCTTTTATTCGTTACTGATTTTGTTGGTCTAATTTATGGTTAAATTTCAGCATGAGAGTCTTCAGGTGACTATTTCCCCTCTTGCCCCATGGTCTTATAGGCTGTCTTTTATGAGTAGACCAAGTTGCTTGAACAGTTTTGTTTTTTCCATTTTGCAGCTTTGAATTGCAATATTATCTTCAAGAGACCTGTTCTTTCAGAACACCGACATTACTGTTTGACCTAAGGATTATTAAAATCTAATTTAAAAAGCCATGTCAGGACATATCTGTTTCATCTCTCTGGCTCTGCAGTAGCCTGGAAACTAGCGGCTCATGAGCTTGGGGTCAGGCTCCAGTGCTCACTTGATGTATGCCACCTGCCTTTCTCCATACCAAGCTAAATCCTGGGGCCATTGTGAAGAGTAATAATTATCATCCCTGAACACTGTGCATATATAAAAGGCTAAAACAATGCCGGTATTAGGGGATGTGTTATAGGTGCGCCTATTCTGAATCACAGATGTATACCTCTAGAAATGCGCATAATTTTTTGTACATTGGATATTTTACCACTTAGAGTCTAATTTCAAAGATGTGCTCCTACAGGGAAAAAAAAGGTTCCAAGGCATCGTAAGAAAATCACATTTAATAGGGTAAACCTTTTTAAAAACACAGTCAACAGAAAAACAACTCTAAAAATAAACTATGAAGTCAATTATTGTACTGCAAATATGTAGACTTATAGAATGCTTTGAGCTGGAGAGGACCTTAGGGATCATCTAGGCCAACTCCCTCGTTTTACAAAGAAGGAAACTGAGACCCAAGAGAATGGGGAAGTGACTTGCCTATGGTAACTCCCCCCCCCCCCCAGTAAGTGGTAGAGCTCCGAATGCAACAGACATTTTCCAACTCCAAATCTAATGTCTTCCCTGCACCATGCTACCTATTTCCGTAGTACCCCAACCTGAGGGTTAGTCATTATGAGGAAGCAGCATTTCCTTAGAGATTCAAGAGGCAACATTTTTTGTTTGCATTTTAGTGAATTTCTTTTAGTAGCTAAATACTAAGAGTAGTTCTGAACAACTCTTCTGTGCTCATCCATCCATCGCCTTCCTAAGTGCAGGATGTCACCGTCTTTTGTTTGAACTAATCAAGCTCTGAGTTTCCTGACTCTCCCTCTTTCCAATCCATCTTTCACACAATTGCCAACAGATCTGACTGCAGTACAGATCCAAGCACATCTCCCCTGCTTCCACCTCTTTGGCAGTTCCCCATTGCCCCGAGCTCCTTAGGCTGGTATTTCAAGTCCTCCACTGCATCCGTGGCCACAGTGTGGCTTTCAGCTTAATTTCACATTCTTCCCGAGCTCTGCATTTTGGCTAAAGTGAACTTATAGCCATTTCCAGTCTTGAGGCACTGTCTCCCACCTTCATGCACTTGCACAAACTGGCCCCAACTCACTCATCTCAGCCTCTCAAAAGCCTGGTCTTCCTCCAAGGTTGATATGCCACTGCCTCCATGAAAACTTCTCAGATTTCCCCCCCCACCAGTTTTTCCTGCCCCCTCCCTCCTCAATTTAATTTGTACTTGACTAATCTTTATACCTATTGTTTTTCCCTCCTATAAGGCCCTTGAGGGCTAGAATTGTTTGCTTTTGTGTAGCACCCAGCACATCATAACCACCTAATGATGTACAAATGTAAGGTTCGCTTAAGGTAAAAGGTTACTGTTGCTCAGAATTGGGCTCCCCCTATCTTGTTTTGCTGATTCTCTAACTCAGGGATTCTTAACCTGGGAGATAGGGACTTTTAAAAAAAATATGTTTTGATAACCATATTTCAATGTATTCTGTTTCATTTGTAAAACTGTGTTTTATGCATTTACAAACATAACTCTGAGGAGTCCCAGATTGGCTACCCGAGGGGCCCATCCAAATGTTAAGGGACTTTTTGATCTCCCTTTATTATTGGAACTCAAAGCTATCACTCCTACAAATTTTGGTTAAAGTTTGTCTTAATATTAACATCACTTGACCAAAACCTGTCCCATAGGATGTGAAAATTCACTTAGAGCCTTAAACATTCCTTGGATAAGAAGCCAGAAGAAGAGCCTCAACTTCCCTGACTCCTTGACAACATGTAGACTGCCCCCTCCCCAGTCAGCCTATTTGTGAACCCTCAAAATGTAGTTTAATCTGTAACCTGACTTAGTTTACCTATAGAGCTTGTTTGACGAAGTTTGTTTCCTTAGGGGATGTAGGATGTATAAGATTATGCCTCTAAATAAGTTTGTTCAACTTTTATGATATTGAAGGAAGCGTGAGATTATGGATCTATCTTCCCTTCAACTTTTGTGGCCTAAGAGAAATATACAATAATTTCATATGTAAAAGAATTCTTTTCTCTGGTGTAATTTTGCCTCTGAGAGCACTTGTCAGAGTCCTAATTGGGGTTCAGGTTTTCTCTGAGGCCTGAACCTATGCTTGAGCATACTAATAAAGCCTCAGTTTTGACTTCCATAATTCCTGTGTTGTGGTACATCTATCTTTAGCAGCAGCTCACTACCACATGAACTCAGTGAGGAGATATTTCTCCCCTATAAGAGGATGCAAAAAAAAAAATGAGGAACTCATGGGCAAGCTAAAGATCTACTTGAATTTCTCATGGTGCCTTGGAGGTGATCCCTGGTTCTGTAAGGCAATGCCAGCAGATTACATGACCTGCTAGGTCCCTCCAAGTTGGAAAGGCCTTGAGTATGGACCCGACCATGAATTACATATCTGTCACCTGGGAACCAGCTTAAGTTTAGACAGGCTCATCAGCACGTTGGCTGTGGGTTATGAATTTTTCAGCTCCTGTAACTCTCAAAGATCATCTATTAAAATTTAGATGGGAGTCACAACCAGTATCACTATAGGGAGGGCCCATACCAACAAAGTGATAGATCTTTGACGTATGCAACATGAACTAAATGAGCCAACTAGTTATAATTTCTTTAAATGACATTTAAAAATCTGTTTTAAGAGTAAATACTCATGGACCTATAAGGCTATGTATAACTAGAAAAAGATGTGGGCCAGCTTCATATTAATTGGACAATTCCACTATTACAATAACATTCATGAACCAGTGAAACACATAGAGGAAGAGGGCATCTAGGGCACTGGGTAGATCCTCCCCTGGGCAAGACGTGGATAAGAGTCACACACGAAGAGAAGGCACGGATGGGTAGTAATCTACACTAGAATTCAGACGCAATGAAGTAAGAAATTTAATATTCTGCCAGTTCTCCTTCTGGAATAAATACAATGAATCACAAATATATTTTGAGGAGTCTTTTTATTTTATTAAGATAAATCCAGCAAAATTTCTAATAGTGGCTACACATACAATCAATCTGCCCTTCTGAAATAAACATTTGTATTTTGTTTAAAAACATGATTACATTTTACTTTCTTTCAAAAACTAATATTAAAGTTATATTTGGGAAAGATATTTCCAACTCTTAGAATTTCATGAAAATAGCTCACCTTCTTTATAAAATCAACCCACAGACACCCCGGACTAGCCGATTTGAGAACTTTCTATTTGGGGCCTCCCCACTTCACTGAATTAAACACGTACCAGGGCCAAAGAAAAAGCCAAAGGACGGAAAGGATAGCTTACACAAGAAAGGGTACACAGTGACAAAAGTCAGAAGCTACCACCACTTATTCTTGCCATAGATCACACTATTATAATCACAAAATGCAGAGACAGTGATATCTTGTTGGTGACATCATACCCAAGCGACCAGGATGGAGACGTTCCAAAATTAACTTCATGCTAAAAAGAAAAACCTGCATTTAGAAAATAGTTGATAAAAATATTCCTCTGTGTCAACGATACAGGATGGAGGTACAGATACCAAACTGATGGAGATATAGGGCAGTGTTACATATTACTCAGGCTTCTCCTCAGGTTCTTCCACAGCCGGCACCTAATTGTAGTGGGACAAAGAAAAATATCTTACTTGTAAGTTTCATAACATCTTCCCCAGATACTTATATCCAACCTTACCTTGTCTGTTGGAAGATATGAGAGAGTCATTTCTCTATAGCAAGGGTGGGCAAACTACCTGTTTAGTATGAGCTAGGAATGCTAGCTAAGAATGGCTTTTACATTTGCGAATAATCATTCTTATCTCCTGAACAGGTGTGTTTGGCTTGGTAATTTGCAAGACCCTGGCTCTATAGAAAAGATCATATGCATAAATCACCAGCCTCAGACAAAATTTGGAATCTGGATGACAATAAAACCACAGCTTGGATTCAGACCCTGGGCTCTGAAAACAAACTCCTGGACTTCCTACCAAGTTGGAAAGGCTCTGACTATTCGCTCCCGGCGACAATACACAAAGAATGGCCAGCCAAAGTGCAGAGAGTCACCAGGTTGGTCTTAGGGGAATGAACCTGCTGGCCTAAAACTCTGGATGACCATCTTAAAGACCACAGGTCTATTCTGAGTAGAGAGATGTACTTGAACTCAGGAAGAACGAGTTTGTACCCCATTTCAGTTACTTATTAGCCATGTAACCTCAGGCAAGTCACTTAAACTTTTAGAGGGTTAGCTGACTTATCCATAAAGTGGGGATAATAATAATAATAGCACCTCCCTTACAGGATTGTTGATATAAAGTGTTATATGAATGTGAGTTATTACCATATTAAGTCATTGGGGATTAAAATCTGTGTTGATGTAGGGTGTACCCAGAGAAATGGAATTACTGATCCTCTAAGAGTGTGTGTGTGTGTGTGTGTGTGTATGTATAAATATTCACATATAAAACACAATATGGTGGATAGAGGGCTAGCTTGGGAGTCAGGGAGACCAGGGTTTAAATCTAGCCTTTGACATATACACTTAGCCTTTCAAGTGTCCTATTCAACTCTTGAAGACTATGTTATGGAGAAGCTGCCAGTCAGAACTGATGGAGGAAGTTTTCACATTAGGTAATTCCCCACACCAATGAAACCACAAGTCTAGAAAAAAAAACAAAAACAAAAAACCCCAAAACAATAAAAGAACAAGAAAATTCATTTCCATGGCCCTTCTTAGTTACAAAGATAAAGAAATACACAGGAAATATAACTGGGATACCAAAGGCTCATGCCGTATAACAGGGTCATTTACAAATTCCAATCTTATTAAAATAATAGCATATTTTAAAAACAAATTTTGTATTCAGCTATGTATCTATAGGCATAGAAAATGGACAAGCACATTTGGAGGAATCCAACAAAACAATAAACATTAGCAGTAGCTGTTGTTCAATGTGCAATGTGAGGTTTCTTGAGCTCCTATCTGATGGCTTTGATTGTTGGGGTGGGGCAGGTAAATTAAATAAATAAATGACTGCATGTTCTAAAAAAGAACTTATTAAAAGTTCCATCAACAGAGAGTCTAACAAATGGTGACAATTTAGGCCAACAACCTCAATTTGTAGATGAAGAAACTACAGTCCAGATAGAGCAAGTCACTAGCCCAAGGTCACAATGTGGCAAGATAAATAACATGATACGTCATTCACTTTAGGTTACAGCAATTCCAACTTTTTCTTCCCGTCTCCATCTAAATTTCCACTTCTTGCCTCAAATGTCGCCCTCCCCATAAGATTAAACAATAGAATCAACTTTCATATCGATACTTGGAGATGAAACTACAAAAGACAGAAGAGTAGTAGAACGGTAGACTGGGAGTCAAGGTTAGAAGAGATGATCTCTAAGATCCCTTTAACTCAGATTTTATGATCTTTTTTTAGGTACAATCATCATTAAACTTTTTATATTACACATTTATTCTAAAATAACAGTAAAATACCTCGTTAGTTTGGGTCTCTCCATTTTCAGAGTGGTTTTCTTCTTTCACTTCTTCCTGCTTGGTTTCCACTTTGACTTTGGCGGCCCCCTTCTTGCCTTTCATTTCCTTTTTATCATTTGCTACGTTCACTTTCTGTTCAGTAACACACAGGGACAAATAGTTAATACTAGATTTCAACTCCCTGTTAATTGTGCACTCTAACCATAAACAGTTGTGTTTGTTGGCTCCCCTTTATCCTTTTGCTTCCAAAATATAGATGTTATCTATGGGTCAGTTCTGGGTCTCCTTTTATTCTTTCTTTTTTTTTAAATTAATTTTCTTATTTTTAACAAGTATTTATTTTCTCTCTCTCCCATTCCCCTCCCCCTGCCCCCAACTTAACAATAACAAAAAAAAAAGAAAGAAAGAAAAGAAAAAAGGAAAAACTATAGCCTTTGTAATAAATAGGCATAGTCAAGAAAAGCAAATTCCTATACTGGCCGTGCCCAAAAATGTTTTGATTTTCTTTCTGTACTTTCTCCCTGACATATCATCCCCAGTCATACTTTCTAGCTATTTGCAACTGCCTGCTGGATATCTTTGCCTTGAACTCAATCTATCCCAAACTGAATGTACCCCATCTTGCCTTTCTCCCGACTTTCCTATTTGCATCACATTTTCCTTAATACAGAGTAGCATCTTTGACTCTTGCCTTTATTTTACTTTCCCCTTCCCAGCATTTAACTAGTTGATTAAGTCCTATAAATTCTACCTCCAAATCCCTTTTGCACCTGTCTCTTTCTTTCATTTCCCCTGCTACCACGTTAGTTTAGGCTGTCCTTGCCTCTTGCCTAGAGTGCTGCAGTAACAGCCTAATTATATATCCTTTCTTCACGCTCTTGCCAGATAAATTTTCCTAAAGTCTACCTGTGATTGGGTTACTCCTCTGCTCAAAAGCCTTCAGGTGGTCCCCACTGCTTCCTGAACAAAGTCCAAATTAGTAGCCTGGCATTTAAAGGCTCTCCATAGTATGCCTCAAGCTACCCTTCTAGCCTTACTTCTTGCTATTCCCCCCCAAAGTACAGATCTTACAACCAACCTGTGTTACCCACTGTTATCTAAATATGTCCCATACTTTCCTGCCTCTACGCCTTTGGTCACACTATTCCCTTCCTCTCTCTGTCCCCCTATAACCACAGCAAGCTCTCTCTTCTATGTTGAACATTGCTACCAAATTCTTTGTCCCTGTATTCTGACACTTACCGTTATCATGCCATGTTCGGCACTTGAGAGTGGGGATTCTGTCTTACTCATCTCTCTATCCCAATGCCTAAGGCATAGTGGGTACTTAATACATATGTTGAATTGAACGTAATAGTGATCAATTTTCAGCAAAATTGCAAGAGTTCTCAGTCTCTTTGGAAACTTACAAAAAATTGCCAAAAAAAAAAAGAACTATGAACCTTTAATGTCCTAAGTCCCAGCGCTCTTTTGAGCTTGGGGAGCACAGGAGGGCAGTATTAAAAAGAAATGAGTTCAGATGGTAGCTTTGGGAGCGGGGGCCACATCAGGTTTTGTGCCACCCCTGGCAAAAAGAACATGTGCCAAAGAATGCTGAAGTTGTGGAAAAAGCTCTTTCTGGATATATGAATAATATCAAAAACACAAAGGTGATCAAAAGCCATATTTTTCCAGCTAACCTCATAATTCAAAACATAAGAGCCTAGAATAGTGCTGAGAGCTTCTACTCTCCTGAGGCCAATACACTGTTTTGTTTTGTTTTGTTTTTTATGATGCCAAAACAATTGATTCAAAAGGGAAAATTTCAACCAAGAAAACCAGATGTTTCTGTCTACACAATATCAAATAACCAGTTGAATTGATTTTTTTTCTTCCACTGAATTAACCAGTTGTTTCAAGGAATTGATCAAACCCCTTGGTGTTTTGGTCTTGCCTAGAGGCAGTACCTGTGATCTTGAAAATGTATCCTTTGCCATGGGACTGTAACTCAGTTGGTGAAATGGTGACAGTGATACTTTTGTGTGCGATAGATATTTGTATTTACAAAAGATCAACCAATCTAGTACTGATTTCCCAAACTTGTTCTTGGGAAGTAGACTAATGTGCCAAATATTTTAGCCACATTCCTTCTTGGAAATTAAAAGCAACATCTTTTAAACAAGGATCTCAGAACGCCTTCTAGGTATGGATCTACAAATCCTCAAAATATCCCTGGGAGTAAGGCAAGTCGTCAACCTGACCCTGTACCTATTTCTACACTGGCATTAGTCATATCACCCAAGTGCCCATGTAGAAGGTCCACTGGCGTTTTGGCTCTTTTCCTTCCTTTTCCCTCCTCGGTCTGGCCTCAGTGTTCACATACATTGCCAAAGGCACGAACATGATCACTTAATGAGTCTTTTCCGGCTTCCATTTGTATCTGTCTTCTCGAAAAGGTCAATTCGTTATTTTAAAGTGCCAAATCACAGTGAACACAAAAAGAAATACGGAGGAAGGAATTGCTCTTGTCTAAGGGGCTTATACTTGAACATGGTGTAGAAGAAGAAAGTAAGTTTTTATGAAAAAAAAAAAAAAAAGCCAAATCGCCCGTGTTTTCTGATAATGTTTTTTTGAGAGAAAAGCCTCTTTCTCTTTGGAGATTCAAAATTCAGTGCTTACCTTTGGGGCTGCTGCCTTTTTGGTTTTGGGCTCAGATTTAGGAGGAACAGGCTTCTGCACAGGCACACACATACACACATATACATACATACACACACACACAAAAAACAGAGGTCAGAGAAATGTAGAAACAAATCTGTCACTGCAACAGGATGACTCACAAATAAGGGAATCCAACTGTTCCACCAACTGGAATGTATATACTTTAAACACAAGTGAAATGATAGATTTCCCAAGTGGTGGTATTTTCTTATAATTTCCCAAGTTAAGTCCAACACTAAACGTGATAGTCTCATTTATTCGGTTTCTTTAAAATGGCACCTCACAAAAGAGGCTATTATCATCAGAGAAAACAAGCAATACTTACAGCAGATAATCGAGGTGACCGCCTCTTTGGCTACAAAACAAAAAGTATTTCAATTAAAGGAAAACCTACACCAAGTGAGAATTATTCATATTGATAAGAAAAGTGACAAATTGGAGCTTGTTACTAGTGAGATGGGCTGCTTCAGGAGAAAATGGGGTCAGGTGTGGGTTGGCCAAGATGCCCTTCGAGGTCCGTTCTGATGCTGAGATTCTGTAGTATCCCAAATAAAATGTGGACTTGGGATTTAAAAAAATATGAGGGCAATTACAATTGAGATTTCCCCCCCACCTGTCATCTGCCAATCATGCAGTCTCCCAGCTGTAAGATACCTGACGCCAGCTAGTAGAGAATGCATATCTGGATAAGAATCCCCCCTATGATATGCCTCCAACAAGTGGACATTTAGGATTCTCTTGGTCACTTCAAGCGAATGGGAACTCCTTCCCTCCCAAAGTAGCCCACTCTACTTTTGATCAGCTCTAATTATTAGGGAGTTTTTCTTCATATCAAAGTTAAATTTGCTGCTTTGCAACTCTCCCCACTATTCCTAGGTCTGCCCTTTGGAGCCAATGAGAGCGAGGTGAATCCTTCTGTTTCGATAGCTATTTTCAAATACTTCAAATACTCCAAATGCTTGAAGATAGCTACTTTAATTTTGACTTCTCTAAGTGACACAAGCCCAGTTTCTTTGATCAGTTTTTATATGAGGTTTTTATATGGTATTTTCTTGAGGTTCATCTTCACCATGAGCAACAGCCTCTGAGTGCTTTCCGATCTATCAATGCCCTTTGTAAAATGCAGAACCTACAAGTGAGCACCACACTTCAGATCTGGTCTTGCCAGGGCAGAGGACAGTGAGGCTGTCACCTGCCTATATACCACTGTTCTCTTAATCCAGCCTAGGATGGCATCAGATTTCCTGGCTACTACAACGGGTGACTCACATTGAGCTTTAGATCTATGAAATCCCTTCAATTTTTCCACCAAAGAATCGTGCCTTCCCCATCTTGTGTTTGGAAAGTGGATTTTTTTCAACCCAAGAGTAAGATTTTACCTTTATCTCTATTCAAATTCATCTGGTCAGAGTCAGTCCAAAATTCTGGCCAGTCAAGATTTTTTTGAATCCCAACTGTCAGCTATTCTTAAAGTTTTGTGTCATTTGTGAAGTTGACAAGCATGCCTTTTTTGACTTTATTCAAGACTGATTAAAATGTTAACTAACCTGAGGCCAAGTGCAGGCCTTCTGGACACTTCCTGAGCCCTCTCTCTGAGCTGACATTGACTCACCAATGAGTCCCCTGGGTCTGGTCCTTCAACCAATTCTGACTCTGCCTGACTCTATCTCCTAGCCACAATATCACCATCTTGTTCGCAAGGATAGCATGAGAGACCCCCTCAAATGCTTTGCTGAAATCTACACTCTACAGCATTCAGAGTCAGAAATGAGTTCAATTTGGCATGACACTTCAATAATCTGGAAATGATACTAATTACCTCATAATTGCTGGTTTAAATTAGCACCATGATTAGTAACAAACAGCCCCCCTTGACGTAAAGAACATGTTCTTTTCAGATCTTAATATGGCAGCTCAATAAAGTTCCCAAGTGCCATGCAATTTGAAGGCTTTAATGCCAGGTATATTTTCTAAGAAATCTTATCGTTACACTGTTAGTTGGCTCATAACATAATAGTTCTCTAACTTTGAAGATGTGGGTTCTCCCACCTATAGTGAAGATGCCGGTCGATCCTTGCCTAATCCTGTGTGAGACTATATCGTCTCATAAATTCACCACCTGAAGTCCACCCAACATTTTAGGGGGAATCTTTCTCACATTCTCTTGACATTGTGTGGATACAAGTAGAAAGTGCTGGCTGTCCAGTGACTCTCTTTCAACTGTCTGAGGGGTAACTAATGGACAGTTACCTCCTATTAGTCAGTTATGCTATATTAAGAACAATTGGTGGCCATTTGGCTCACGTAAGCTGGTTATGCCAACAGCCAGTTAAATACCTCTGGCTAGAATCCAATACTCTCTCCACTTTATTTCTACCTCTACCTTTACAGCCTTATGGCTTATTACTCCCTTCTTCATAATCATCACTTTAGCCAAACTGGACAATTTTTCTGCCTGGCTTCCCCTGCCTTCCTAAACATTCCTGGGCCTCTCAGGCCTTTTTACCTTTGCTAGTCATCTGAATCCCCAGCATGTCCTCTTTCCTCCTCTTCCTCTGTTGAATTCCTACCCATTCTTTAAAGCCCAGCTCACGTGCCACCACACAACCTATTCCATTTGCAAATTGTCAACACGGCTGCCTGCTGTGAAGTGTGACCCATCTACCTCCACCCCATCAGTTTCCATCTGCCCCCTCAGATCTCACTTTTGTTTCTGTCATCTCTACCTTTTCCCTTTTCTCCCCTCTCCTTTCCAGAATGCCAAGTTGTTGTGCAATGGCAATTTGTGGAACCTTAGCCAACCTAGGTGATAGATAATATATCACATTAACATGTACTATTTGTGTATTATATTTATGTTGGTATCACCTTGCCCTCCTAGACTGGAGGCTCCTGTGTCTTGGGACAGAGCTCCTCTCTTAGCTAAGCTGTGTATCTGCTCTACGGTCTACGGCTTAATGCACTTCAGAAATGTGTGGTGTGTGTATGTGTATGAATTAAGCTTTTTCTTAAAGTTGAAAGACAAAACAAACTCACCTCCTCCTTTACCTGCCCTTCAACGGCTGCCTGTAAAGAAAAAGAAAGAGAAAGACAGCGTCATAAAATGTTCCCTGCTCAGTCTCACTGGAAGCTAAGAAAAGTGACTGACCGGTTAGTGCTTGGGGTTCAGCCCAAAGACTAGACTTCCTCTGCAGCAATGCTGGCTGCAGCACAGTCGGCCGATGTGTAGATATGCAACATGACTCCAAAACCAACTCTAGAACTTTTTCTGGACATATCAATCTCATCTCTTTGCACCCCAGTTAAAATAAGCCATTTCTTTAAACCTTTCTTAGGACACACTTGTCCTCATGCACTTACCTCAAGTTCGGCAATGTCCGAGCCAAAAAACGGGCGGGGCGGGGGGGGGGGGGGGAGAAGAGAAGGAAAGGGCAGCGTAATGCGCTTATTCTGCAGGAAGCCCCTTTCTTCTCCCTCTCTCAAAGTGCATCTGCGACTGAACCTGAGGGGGCCCGCTCCCCCAGCCCTACCTTCACCTCCAGGTCCTGCGCCAAAGGACTACAAGTCCCACAAAGCCGCGGGAAAAAAGCCCCTCGGTTCCAACGTCAGTGCGTCACCAAGCCAGACGTCGGGCAATTTAAAAACTTCCCGCCAGATTACCTGCAACAACCAGGTTGTTGTCAGCGTCGGCTCAAGGATGGCTCCCATCAAGTGAACCCCAGAGGAATCTGCAATAGGTGGCTGGGGCTGGCGGGGTTAGAAATGCAGGATTACACCCCCCCCCAACACACACAGACATGCGCCACCCCATCTACACCCACAGCCTCGAGACCCCTGAGGCATCTAAGCCCTGGCACACAGGCAAAAGGGTTTGGGGAGGGGGCGATTAAACAATATTCTATGCCCTCATTCCCGAGGCACCCAGATCCTAGTCTGGGGCGCGCCGGGCGCGCTCGGCACAGATCTCAGGTCTCCTCTCGGAGTCGAGCCGGGGAATTACCTTTGCAAGAGTTTAGGAGAGAGTTGGCAAGAAACTAATTGATCTTGCAGAACGGACTCTCCCAAACCGTTGCAATAGCTTTTTCCGGTCTCCCCCTCGTCTCCGTTCTCTTGGCTCCTTTCAGGTGGTCTCTGAGAACACCCGAACTTCCTAGGAGACTCGGAGATCGCTCGGCTCCCTCCGAAGTTCCTAATTATGGCTGTGAATCTCTCCCTGCTCAAGGACAGTTGCAAAATCTGCGCCGCCTAATGGCCCAGAATTACCACTGCACAGCCATCTGGCACGACCAGAAGTGGAGGAGGGAGGGGAAAAAAAGGGAGAACAAAGGCAAATACTAGAGAAAGACGCAGCGATCGCTCTCCAAATCTTCCTCCAGGAGGATCCGGCTGGCTGCCCGAGAAAACCCCAAGGCAGAGGGAGGGGGCTAGTGCCTGGTAGGGCGGCTGGTGGGAGCCCCGGCTCGCCAATGGGGGTGCGCAGGGGAGGAAGCAGCGGCGCTATGGCTGTAAGGAAGCCAGCATGGAGACCCCGTTCCCGCTGCCCGGAGCCTGGCAAACTAAGCCGTCCGAAGTGAAATGCGAGGCTCACATACAGGCGACCCCCCGAACCCTGCTCAGGTCCCAGCCCCAGACCCGAGCCGGAGACCCGATCCCTCTTCGCTTTCCCTTCCTCTGCCTTCTTCAATTCAGCACATGCACCAAAGCTCCCTGGCAGCCTCTAAGCCCAGAAACATCCTGGCTGCCCAGGATCAAATAGACAGGCGGGCGGCTAATAATCCTCCCCACTCTTCCCTTGCACTTACCTTTCTTTTGGGCATAGTTGCACCTCTGAATTAGTGGCTTGCAATTGCAAGGGAGAAATAAAGAGCTAAAGCTAGCCGCGGTTGGCTGCTTGCAAGGCGGTAGACTTTTCAGTGAACTAATTGCAGCTGGACCTGCACCTCCAAAAATTAAAAGCCCTTTTTATTGCAAACACTCAAATACACCAAGACGCAACCAAACTGCATGAATGGTAGCCACGGTGGGAATGACAAGCGGGCCGGCCAATGCTGTAAGTAGGCCGGCCAGGGGGCGGGGCCCGGATACGTGCGGGCTGCTCTCCTACGCGGGGCGCGCTGGCCGCTCTCTCAGAGCCTGGGGACTGAGTCGGCGTAAAGTGCTGGAGGGATACGCTTGGCGGGAGGGAGTGGGAGAGGGATGGACGTGCTGCCCTGGAGCCGTTCTAGGCAATTGGGAACGGCCCCCGCCGCTCTCCCGCTGGCCCTGGCACCCGGGCAAAGGTGGCAGCTCCCACCAGGTGGACAGCGAATGAATGGACACGGGGGCTCGCCCCTTCCCTCCTGCCACTCGGCCTCGACTTCCCCCTTATGCAGAAACGGGGTCCCTGAACGTGGCCGCAACGGGGAAAGGGGCGGGAGGGCTCGACCGGGGCGGGAGGGAGGACCGGCGAAAGCCCGTAGTCCCGGAGGGGCTCCCCGTGGGGCTAACGGGCCTGACTCTCAAGGGAGGGGCCCCGCCCCTGTCCCCTCCCCCGCCCCTGGACAGCGGCAGAGCCACGACTTCGTGCTGGCCGTGCGCTCCAAAGCCCTGGACTGGAGTGGGCGGCTGAGGGCGGCTGAGGCCGACTCCTGTCTCTTACTACCTGTATGACCTTGGACCAGCTCCCCCGCACCTCCCACCCCGCACCCAGGCAAATGGAGGGTTTCGACTAGATAGTATCTCATGGCCCTTCCAGCCCGTGGCATTCTCTGTTCTCAGGCCCTTTCCATTTTAAGCAGACATTCTGATGTCCGTCCTCCGCCCTACCTTCCTCTCGGAGACCACCCCCCCCTTCGACATTCTATGTTTCAAGGTCCCAGATCGGACATTCTACCTTCCTAACCCCACCCAGCGCGGACATCTCTGATCTCCGAAAGCTTCCAGCTCTGCCGGTCTGTTTTCTGGTCCCTCTCTGCGCTTGTCATTCTTTGTTCTCAGGTCCCTCCAGTTCTGCCATTCTTTGGGCTGAGATCCCTTCCAGCTCTGCCCTTCTGTGCTTTAAAAGCCCTTCCCGCTCAGAAATCCTCCCTTCGAAGGCCCCCCCCCCCCCCTTCCCCAGCTTGGATGTTCTGTTCTCAGGTCCCTTCCAGCTTTGTCATTCTTTGTTACCAAGTCCTTTCCAGGCTTAGCATTCCATTCTAAGGTTCTCTCCAGTTTGGACGTTCTCTTCTGAAGTCTCTTCCAGCTTCAACATTTTGGCTTCCGAGGACCCTCTGAAGTCCCTTGCAGCTCAGTCATTCTGTATCCTCAGGTCTCTACCAGCTCTGCCATTCATTCTCCGGTCTCAAGTCCCTTCTACCTATAACAGCTTAGATTCTTAGGTCTTCCGGCTCGAACATTCTCTGTTCTACAGCCCCTTCCAACTCTAACGTTCTATGTTCAAAAGACCCTTCCAGCTCACATGTTCTATGATCAAAGGACTCTTCTAGCTAGATCTAGCATTCTGTGTTCTAAGTTCTCTTTCCAGCCCTGACATTCTTTGTTCTGATACCTCCTAGCCCCATCATTCTTTGTTTTCAGTTCCTTTCCAACTATGATACTTTCTTCTGAGGTCCCATCCAGACACTCTCTGTTCTCACATCTCTTCCAGCTATGTCATTCTATGTTCTAAGTTCTCTTCCAGTCCTGACATTCTCTACTCTAAGGTCCCTTTCAGCTCTTACATTCTATTTTCAAAGGACCCTCCCAACCCTGACACTGGGTCTCTTTCAGCTCAGATGTTCCACCTTCCAAGGCCCTACACATCTTAGACATTCTCTCTTTTCAGATCCCATTCAGCTTGTACATTCTTTGTTCTAAAATCTCTTCTGACTGATTTTTTTTTTTTCTGTTCTCTGTTCTCTGACATCCCATGAGTCTATGAGCCCAGTTTCTGTGTTGCATCTAACTAGTTGTGTGACCTGGGGCAAAGATATCGCTGTCATTCTCTGGACTTCTCTTTCATCTCTTAAAAGGAAGGATTTGAACTAGATTAATCTAACAGTCATTTATATTAAATCATGTACTATGTGCAAAGGCACTCTGCTCATTTATGGGATACAGAGAGGAAAATGAAACAGACCCTGCCTTCATTCTTTTAACTAGTTTCTAAGGTCTCTTCCCCCTCTGCAATTCTTCGGTCCTTAACTTGGAATGGCTTCAGGAACGAGTCTATCGATAGACCATAGTATCGAGCTACCTGAAGCCTGCTCTGGACAGCTTTCTAGCTCCCCTTTAGCAGGGGTGAGGAGGCAGCTCCTAAGCTTCTTGGCTGCAGAAGAAACAAACTTCTCCTGTAAATCAATCTGCTTTCCTTGGGGCTCAGCTGCCTTCTGAATCTGCTCCCTGGGACAACATGAGAGTGGAAATGGAAGGAAAATAAGGAAATTAGAGGTAGCTAGGTGACAGAGCAGATAGGACGCTGAACTTCAAGTAAGGAAAACCTGAATTAAAATTTGGCATTTACTAGCTGTGTGACCCTAGGTAAGTCACTTGATCTCTGTCGGCCTCAGTTTCTTCATCTGTACAATGAGGATAATAATAGCATCTTCCTCTCAGAGTTGGTGTGTGTATAAAATGAGATATTTGTAAAGTTCTGGGCAAACATTAAAGCACTATATAAATACCAGTCATTATTACTTTTATCTTCTAGAATAATGGTGGGAAGAAGGATAGAACCTTGGCCCCAACCAACCAACAAGTACCTATCATGTCCCAGGCACTATGCTAGGCACTGGGGATACTTAAAAAAAGTGAGATAAACCCCACTTTCACAGCGCTTACATTCTATAAGGGGGGTACTGCATGTTCCCAGATAAGTATAGGATGTATCAAAATAAATTCACAGTTTTGGGGGTGGGGTACTAACAACTGAAGGAATCAGGAAAGTTCTCTTGAAGGAGTTGGTATGGAAACTGAGCCATGAGGGGAATTGGGGATTCCCAGATGTAGAAGTGAGGAGGGAGAGTGGCCTAGGGTGTGTGTGTGTGTGTGTGTGTGTGTGTGTGATATGTCTATACAAAGACTTGGAGGGAGGAGATGGAATGTCCCATATGGGGATCAAGAAGTAAGATAGTTTGGCTAGACCACAGGAGTGCCTAACCTTTTTTTGTGTGTCATGGACCCCTTGGGCAGTCAGCCTGGTGAAACTTATAGACTCCTTCTCAGAATAATGAATAAAACAAAATACAAAGGAAACCAATGATATTGAAATAAAAATGTAAATTTTTTTCCCATTCAAGTTTATAGACCCCCTGAAATCTATCCATGAACCCATAGGCCTAGGTTAAGAATCCCTGGGCTAGAGTATAGTGTGTGTGTGTGTGTGTGTGTGTGTGTGTGTGTGTGTGTGTGTGTGTGGTGGGAATGTATAATCTGTCTGGAAAGAGGCTGGAGGTAAATTGTGAAGGGCTTCAAATGGAAAGATTGAAAGCAGCGTGGTCCAGTGGCAAGAGCACTGACTTGAGTTGGATGTCCTGGGTTCAAGTTTTACCACTGTTACTTATTATCTCTGTGACACTGGGCAAGTCACTTAACCTCTCTGGGTCTTACCTGTTCAATGTTAAATTAAATGCCTGATGAAATGCCTTTCACCTCTAGATCTATGATCCTATGATTAGAAAGCATTATGGATTTGGAGTCAAAAGGACCCGAGTTCAAATCCTGATTCTTCCACTTAGTGCCTGTGTGATCTTCAGAAAGTCTCAGGTCTCAAGTTCCTCCTCTTTAAAATGAGGAGATCAAGGAGCCATTTCTCAATGGATAAGTTAAGATAAGAATAAACAAATAGTTCATAAAAGAAGAATCCCATACTATTGACAAACAAATGAAAGATTCCTCCAAAGCACTAATAATAAGAGAAATGCAAATCAAAATAACTCTGAGGTTTCACCTCACACCCATAAAATTGGCAAAGATGACCAAAGTTGGAAATATCAATATTGTAGTGGCTCTAGAAACATAGGTACACGAGTACATTGTTGGTGGAGCTGGGAAATGGTCCAGTTATTCTGGAAAGCAATTTGGGATTATGTAAAACCAAAGTCCAAACCCTTTTATTCAGATATGCTAGGCATATTTCCCAAGGTAGTCAATGACAGAATGAATGGTTCCATATATACTAAAATATTCATAGTAGCACTTTTTATGGTTGCAAAGAATTGGGGGGGAAAGTAAGGTGGCAACTGATTGAAGAATGGCTGAACAAATTGCACATGTATGTAATTGAAGATGAACGTGCATAAGAGCTGATAAATATGAAGAATTCAGAGAAGTATAGGAAGGCTTATGTTTGCTGATGCAGAGTGCAGTGAGCAGAACCAGAAAAACAGAATACACATTGACTACAAAATGACTTTAAAGAACAGCAAACCAGGGGCAGCTAGGTGGCACAGTAGATAGGCTCTGGCCTTGGAGTCAGGAGGACCTGAGTTCAAATCTAACTTCAGACACTTGAAACTTACAAGCTGTGTGACCCTGGGCAAGTCACTTTCCCCTGATTGCCTCACCAAAAACAAAACAAAAAAACAAACCGGCAAACCAAAATGGAATGCTATGTAATTATGAAGACTTTAAACTTGGTTCCAGAGAAGAGACAAGAAAACATACCTCCTTCTCTTCTCTCTCCCTCTTTTCTTCTTTGAGGGAGGAGACAGTTCTTTCAACTCCACGAAGCCTTTCCTGTTGCCACCATGCTTAATCCCTTTCCTCTGAGATTACTTTCTATCGACAGCGTGTATTTTGTATGTATATAATTATTTGTATGTTGTCTCTCCATTAGAATGTGATCTCCTTGAGGGTAGGAATCATACTTTTGCTTTTCTTTATATCCCCAGTACTTAGGACAGTGCTTGGCATAGAGTAAGAACTTAATTGCATATTGACAGACTGACTATGGGTACAGAATATTGCATATACTGTTAGACTCGGTTGACATATTGGCTTATTTTGTCCATCTGACTTTCTTTTTTCTCTTTCTTTTTTATTCTTTGTTATTC